AGCTTTCCAAGGACATGAACATTATCTTAATTTTCTCAGGGTACCCCAAATATGCCATCACTCCCAGACACCAGGAAGCAGTCTAGAGAACACGATGCTGACATTCCCAGGAGGTGGACTAGGTGGGTTTTGGTCATTCAATGGGTTATGGGTGTTTGTCATCATTTAGTGGGGTTGGTTACAAATTGTTACTGGACATGGTTGGGGAGAAAGGTAAACAAAGGAGATTAGCTTCAGAGATCTTTCTGAAGGTAAAGGCTGGTTATAGTATACAAATGATGGGATAAAGTGTGGATGGTAGAGAAAGACTCCCTACAATTTACATGGTCTAGGATCCTAGCCAGGGATTGTCCACATACACAGTGGGCAGGTCTCCTCACCTCAATGAATGCAGTCAAGATAATATCCCCAGACATGCCCATGGGCTCATCTGGAAGGTGATTTTAGATTCCACCAAGCTGACAGCACTATTCATCCACAAAAGTTGACCCTAAACTCAGAAGCACCAGGAAGTTTCCCAAGGTTCTTGCTGATGAAACTGTCAATGACTTACTTCTAAGAGAAATGGGATTAAATGCAGAGTAAAGCATCAAGTTGAACCCAGCAGACAAGTTGGGAAGAAGTAGACCTTTCACCTTCCGTAGTACAGCAGACAATACTTTTCAGCCAAATGCATGAACTATGGCCGAAAAACCTTTTCCATTCTGTATCATGTACTAAACTTCAAACTCTCTCTCTCAGTACATTTTCTTCACCAGAACAATGGTCTGCCTATGTGTTTACATGTTTCAGGAAGGAGAGAGATTTCTTCAACTTGGACAAACTTCCCAAGGTTGTTAGAATAAACCCAAAGGAATTACCTTGAACTCCCCAAAATAAGCAATCAGATTTCATCTCTCAATGTTGTAGCAACTGAAACAAAGGTTTTACACAGTAATCTTTTAATTTAAAAAGTCTTTACTATTTATAACAAATACTTGCTACTAATTATACTAAGTGGCAACTTTAATACATTAACACATGTACATCTTTTTTGTTTATTTAAAATGTGAACAGTATAGGAGATATGCAGATAGTATTTTTACATCATTATCAGGCCATATTCTTGCTTATACATTGAACAGGGCAAACAGGCTTCTCCTGAAGTTTCAAGGACAAAAGCTTTCACGGCCACCATCACTTAGGAGATTTCAGAATGCTGAGTAAGTAGGATTTTAGTGCGCCCTGCCTACTTGAGCAAAACCTGCTTCAGTGTGATCTATGGATTTAGTTTCAGAATAAGACTGTTAGAACAGTGGCCCAGCTACACAATCACTACCATTAAAGGAATGCTAACAGTTCTAATTTATTGTTCCAAGAGGACTTTTTTTGTTTATGACCCACATTAATATGAGTAAGAAAAAATAGTTTAGAATCTTATATAAGTAGAAAAGATAATTTTGAGATTGCTCAAAATTATGAAAAGTAATAGGATACATGAGATCAAGTAAACTCTTCAGGAAGAGATGCAAGTTCTCTGGCTGTTGAAGGCATTCATCTTCCTAGAGCCAATTTTAAAAGATCTAGGAGGGTATTTTGTTTCTTTTGTCACATAGCTAGGTTCTGTGCACTTAAAGAAATCTGTTCATTGATAAACTAAAGAAACCAGGACTTTAGAGACCATCCATGGCAAAGAATATAGTATTTGCAAAAATACTTTGATGAAATCTGTAAACATACAAACAACAAAAAGCAACAATGACAAATGTGGGAAGGGGGTAGTTTGATTTCATGTCTATTCTTCAATGAGAAAATAAGAACATGTGGTTCATTCACAGGGAAAAAACAGTGATTAACAGAACAATTCCAGAAGAATAGACATAAGGATTATTAGACAATGACTTCTAAGCATCTCAATGACTTTTGGGCAGAATTCATACCAACATTTATACAGAATTTCAAAGAATCCTGATTACTCCAAACGTCTTTCTAAAGCAAAGGTAGGGGATTCATACTTCTGGATCTTGAAACTTGTGGCAAAGCTAATCAAGAGTGTAGTGTTGGAGCTGCAGAGATGACTCAGCAGTTAGAAGCCTCATGGCTCTTGCAGAGAACCTGAATTTCATCATGAGCATCTTGAGATAGCTCACAGCCCTCTGTAACGTCAGGTCTGGGGGATCTGATGTTCTCTTATAACTTCAGTAGTAGGCACTGCATTCACACACACACACCCACACACACACCTTTAAAAATTTTAAATATATATAAATAATATATATTTTTTAAAGGATTGCAACCCAGGCATATTAGTACAAGTCTCTAATCTCAGTGCTCCAGAGACAGAAGCAGATATATCTCTAAGAGTTTGAGGATAACCTGTTCTACATAATGAGTTCCAGGACATCCAGAACTACATAAAATATTCCATCTAAAGAATTTAGTACTAGAAGACAGACAGGCAGGCAGACAGACAGACACTCAGGCAGGCAGGCAGACAGACAGATGAACTAATGAATGAGAACAGGAACAAACCAATGAGTAAAGGATATAATATTTTCAACAAACAGAATTAATTGTAAAATCTCGATATCCACATGCAAAATAATGAAGTTCTACCACTTAACTTACACCACACACACAAAAATCATTCTAATGGGATGAAAGGCTTTAAGGCAGGAGCTAAAAGATACAAATATTAGGAAAAAATGTAGTTGACAAACTTTATGACTTTGGATTGGGCAGTGTATGTTTTGGCATCTATCGAAAATGACTGACAACAAAAGAACAAATATATAAGTTAGACTCCATCAAAATTTAAAACATCTTTGCATCAGAGCCAACTAGTTGATTTCTCCAAAAATTAAACACAAATTGTCATACACTTCAGCAACTCAATGGATACTCAAAGAGAGGTTTTTATACTCATGTTCACAGAAGAATTGTTACAGCAGAAAAAAAATAGACATAATGCAACAGACTGAGCAGTGAACCAGCAAGCAAATCATGAGAAAATATTACATACCCCAAGTAATATTACTCAGCCTTAAAAGTAAGTTCTGGCATGCACTATAGCATAGATGTACCTTGAGAATTTTATACTAAGTGAAATTAGTCCATCATGGTGAGGCATACAGGACTCCACCTCAGTGAGGCAATACGAGTAGTAAGGTCACACTAATTATAATTAATTGGTTGATTAATTATTACTAACTAATTAAAATTAATAATTATATAGTGCTATAGTAGAATAGTAGTTTCTGAGTGCTGGAGTTGAGGAGGAATGGGGGTTTAGTGCTGAGAAGATCCAGAGTGTCAATTTGGGAAGAGGACAAAGCTCAGGAAATGGATAGTTTGATGTTTGCAAGATACTGTGGATGTGAATAAGTGCTTATTTCAGAGAATTACATGCTTAAGAGTGGCTTATATAGTAAGTTTTACGTTTTTATATATATTTATTTAATAACATTTAAAACTAAAAGAAAGAGAAAAAAAGGAGATGCAGAGGAGACTGTCATGAAAGGCGACAGGCAGAAACTGGAGTTACCAAACACAAGCCAAGGGGTACCTGGTGTATCAGCACTGAAAGATGCAAACAGAGGCCAAGCCTGAGGGTACAAACCTGTAATTCCCCCCATCTGGGAACTAAAGCAGAAAGATTCAAAGTCTAATGCCTGCTTGGGCTACAGTGCCTACTCAAGGGCAGCCTGGGAGCTTCAACAAGATCCTGTCTTAAAATGTTTGAAAATCAAGCAGGCTTAGTACATAGCTCACTAGTAGAGCAATAGCCTTGCATGTGTGAAGTTATTGATTCAACACTCAATGTCTCAATTAAAACACACACACACACACACACACACACACACACACACACACACACACAAGAAATGCATCTTCCCTAAACTCACCCAGAGAGAGCACAGGGTTGTTGATATCTTGGTTTGCGATGTATGCCATCCATAATGATGAAAGAGTAAGTTGATACTTTTTATATGTAAAACATTGATATTAATTTTTAGTTAGTGTTCTAAGTAATTGGCTTCATTGTGGCATTTTCACACATATATCATACACACTTAGTTTTCTCTCTAACTTGTCACATTTGTAATAAGTTGGTAAGGTAGCCACAGACGGAGTAAGGATGGAGGAAACTTAGTAAGGATGAAGGAGTGATTGAAGGACTAAAAGGAAAAAGGAGTGTGCAAATGCCAACCAGGAGGGAGAAAGTGTCCACCCCGGGGGTACAGAGTGGCTGTGTGAAGAAACTGGAGCACACTGCACACTCTCTGTTCTAGAATGCAGGTAGTGAATGTACAGAAAAATGAATTTGTCTAGATTACCTTTCATCAAAAGAGTACAACAGGAAAGAGATGAAGGCTTTGGTTTTGTTTCTGAGGTACTAATGTGAACAATGAACATGCATGCACATGTGTTGTCTGACTAAATGAGAGACTTTATTTCTTCTTTTTAGGCTTTCCAATTCTGGCAAATGCCAATGCACATATTACTGTTTATTACATTAGGCCAATTAAAAAATCTCATTTAACATTCAATTATTTGCCTCTATTCTAATGATAGACATTTAAAATAAATTATTAGTGTAGTAATCATTTTAACAATGTGTCTTTTATGATCTATTAGTGTTGTGATAAATTCACTGTATCCTGGAGATTGAAGTGAGTGTTTTTTAAACAGCACTGCATGATTATTTCTTACTGATCACTTTTATGCTGCTCTCTCTAAGATATTCACATGCCTACCATTAATCTTCTTTAATTCTTAATCCTAGCTCATTTCTAATATATTTCTCACTTAAATCCATAGAACTACTTTCTTTTTTAACAAAGGTAGTTAACACAAAAGAATGAAAGAAAGAAAGAAGAAAGGAAGAAAGGAAGGAAGAAAGAAAGAAAGGAAGAAAGTAAGAAAGAACCTGAACCATTTCTTTCCTGTTGGGAGTATGTTTTCTCTGCCTGCTTTCTCCAAGCTGTCCTGTGGGCTGAGGCTTCAGTGTTCAGACTTGTCAAACTCGTTTCATTTCAACTACTTGTCATTTGTTTCCTTATTTCTTCCAGTAGTAGATGTCTAATATATGTAGGCATGTCATAGATTTGATTGGAAAGTCCAGTTCAGAGGCTGATACCTGCACGATCCCTTCCTCCCATTCATGATGTATCTGCATCGGTAAGTTCAGTTTTGTTTCCTTTGGGTCCTGCTCCTATGCTGTGGTGTGTTGTGTGTCAGTGGGACAGATTCCCCTGTCAGAACATGGCTCGGGAGAGATACTTAAGAGATTCAAATGTCATTTAAGACTGAGAGATTTCTGGAATTTTTGAAGTGGACTGGATTAAGTAATGTCTGTGTTTGAAAAGCAGTGTTTTGTGTAAAAATCATCAGCATTATTGTTTCATATTGCCAAGTTCAATAGTTAGTAATTGGGACAGCAATGGAAAAGACAATCACACGTTGTCCTGGTTGATTCTGAACCAAGTGCTGGGGAGTTGGTGGTGTTGGTGTTGGTGGTGGGGTGATCATTAGTTTTAAAGTAATCCTCACAGCAGCAACCCAGCAGTATTTAGGCAATTCCTTCAGATTTTCCTCCTGGTACTTGGTGCTGGTTCTTGTGGAGTGAGGGAGGTTAGGAAGTCATGAGCTTGAGACTCCCGGTCTACTGTAGAGAACCCTATATCTTGGGAGAAACCGAGCTAACAGGACATCAAGATTGGTGATAGAGTGCTTTCTACAACTTCTCCTATTAAATAGCAAGGAAAAATGAAAAAAACAGTTTTAAAATAAGCTTTGCCACATTCAAAGAGAGAAAAAGCTACTTTGATATAACTATATATATCTCAAATAATGATTTTAACACCTAGGATGATAATATTACTTTCACATATGTTGCTTAATTTAAGAGCTTGTCTAGCCTGCTGTTTGTAGAGTGGGTGTCATTAATACCTATCCTAACAAGAAAACTCTGAAGACACAGAAGTTAGGACACTTCTCCAGGTTTCCAGGACTGTCAATGATACAATTCCTCAGTCCTAAACCATATATCATACAGACCTATTCATGAATTAGCATATTCACCTTGTTAATTTCTACCTTTCTAGGCAGAAGGCACCATCCTGGGAATGTCAGACATGAGAATTTGATTCTAGACAGCATTAGCATATTCACCTTGTAAATTTCTACCTCTGTAGGTAGAAGGCACCATCCTGGGAATGTCAGACATGAGAATTTGATCCTAGACAGCCTGCTAAGTCAGTGAACTTTACTGGACATCTTGCCAACTTCCCCCCACCCCCAATACTCATTTGGATCAGTGCTTTCGAAAGAAACCACACAGCAACTCTGATCTCTGACGCATTTAGGGGGGTTATCCATGTTTCACACATAGTCACCATTACAGATATCTACTGAACAAATGAAAAAAGCAAATGAACATGGACATTTGTGCTAATCTTTTGCTTATTTGTTCAAATTCGTTGAATTAGAAAATATATACCCAATGTTTATAGACATTAAGACATTGTAAAGCAAAATCTTACATTCCCAATCTTTCTATTAGAATTATCAAATTTTCTACGCATAAGCACCAAAATTTTTCTTTTCTAGTGAACAGTTATGTACCTACACATTTTTACAGTTCGGGGACATAAATTAACAGGAGCAACAATAACGCTCAATTGTCGCTATTTTAGACATCAGTGACATATCACTAATAAAAAATGGAGACAGTAGGAAACCCTGGGTGGCAATGGCTCCTTTAAGTTAAATTCAGGGCAACTACCCCAAAAATGGAAGATTTGCAAGAGATAGCCAATCCTGCTAACAGGCACGCATAAGGACTGAGGACACCAAGTTGTTTAATAATTTTGGCAATAGATATCCTGTCTCATCCACACTTGTTCTAAAGTGTACTCTACTGTTCTGCTCACTATTGTGATTCTTATTTCCTCGTTAACAAGAAACACACTGTGGGAGCATACCTTTTGATTGGTGTGCCTGCTGTTTGTGCTGTCATGAACCTGGATGTCTCCTGTGTGGGGTCTGTCATCCCATCATTGTTCTTGGGTTGATTTTAGTGCAACAAATAGCATATTGCAGAGCTCTCTATTTAGGTTTCCCTATAAGAATGGCCATGTCCCTACTCTTTCAAAATCTTTATTGATTGAGGGATTTCACTCACTTTAAAAATCATCAATTGAATATTATATTTTGTTTCCAGAAAAGCCATGGTCTTATAATGTGCCTTCTGCACCTTTTACCTTATGTTATCCTCACAGGTCTGTGATTTAGTTCTGTCAGCAACACAGTTTTATAGGTAGAGGAAGTAACGAGCCCAACACTACAAATTAATGACAAGATAAGCTAGGACCTGGATTTAGTGGCATAGCCCAAAATCAATTGAAAGGGTGTCCTGATTTTCCCCTATTTAACAATTTTTTAGATTGTAATATTTTGTGTTTTCTAATACTAAATTTTTGTGAAGTATTTATGGTCTTATCACTATCCAGTATGTCTACAGTCAGTAGATTGAAGTGAATATTTGTGTAATTGAGATTTAAAAAGTGACCAGTAAATGGTTGTCTTAGCTATGCTCTCATCTCCTGATTATCTGGAATATAGGGAATAATATTTCTAATAAAAAATGAAGACTGGAGATATATGTATATAACAGTTAGGAGTCAAGATTGTATGAATTTATTATCAGAGCAGTACATAATTCCACATCAGATGGCAATTTGTTCATATGTATTATAATTATTGCCTATTTATTAAAGATGCATCAGTTTGAATCGCAGTACTTATTAGATAATTTATTCATCACAATCCTGGTGAAAACAAACCTCTGTAATCACCCTGTTTACATGAGAAGAAAACTTTGCCTCAAATCACAATTACTCCATCTGACACACTCATTAATATGTCTGAAAATCCTTGGCAGTGGCCAGAAATAGGCATACTAATGGTACATCCAGTAAGAAAACCTGGAATACTCTTCTATCTTGGGCTTCCACATTTGGTATTAAGATGGTCTGGCTGCAAATGGGCAGCTTTGAAACTACACAGACAAGGCCTTTCCTTCCCTTGGTTTTGACTTTACTAGTGAAATGGTACACTAAGGTTGCTCTCACCAAGCTGCAGCAGCAAGTGCATGCGATCATCTATATCAGTGCTTCTCAACCTTCCTAGTTCTAAGACCCTTTAATACATCCCCGAATGTTGTGGTAACCTACAACCATAAAACTGCTTTCATTGCTACTTCATACTGCAATTTTGTTACAGTTATGAATCACAATTTAAATATCTGAAGTGCAAGATAATAGATATGTGACCACTGTGAAAAGATCGTTCCACCCCCAAAAGGTTGTGACCCTATATGAAAACCCTATATGCAGGATATCTGATATGTGACCCTGTGAAATGGTCATTCCAACACCAACAGGTTGCAAATCACAGTATGAGAATCATTGATCTATATGAAAACCATCAGACCAGAGTAGGACCCAGTACATGCTAGAGACCTTCATTTGCTCCCTCCATGCCATTACTCAAAAGGGGACAGAAAACTGAAGTTGATAAGGTCAACACACAAGTATTTCTTATCCTAGACACAGTATTTCCTTATAAAATGCTTATAGAGGGTTGTTCCATACAGAGGGAGAATTGGAGAACATTTTTCAGTGTTTAACTTTCATATTTGTTGACAAAATGAAAATCTATTATTTTCATATTTTAAATATTTGCAGAAAAAAGTTGGCAGTACTATATTATTTTTAATATCACAGATCTTAAAAGTTGTACCATGAATCTGGGTGTGGTAGCATACTTCTATAATGTCAGCACCTAGAGAACTGAGGCAGAGGAATGTGTATGCCCAAAGTCAGTCTGAGTAACATAGTGAGACTTTATCTCAACAGTTACAGAAAAGGTTTTAACATGATTCCCTGAACTTAGAGTCTATGTCATATTCGTCCTTACTCCCCCCACAAACTCAGCATGATGAAGTCTTGACACAATAAAGTCTCAAGAAAAGGTTATAGATAACATCTGCAAGTGAATGAGTGGATATGTAACTGAATGGAAAAGTTAATAGATAAAAAAACAAAAAAAATGAAGAATAGAATATATTGCTATGAATGGTTAACTTCTTAGAAGTAATTTTTAGGATCTATTTGTGTTGCAGGATGCTGTGACACAGGTATTTACATAAATATAATTCATTCTTAGTACATGGATGGTAATTCCAGCCTGAATCTTAACCTACAATCCAAAATTCTCATACGCTTTAATGGAAGAAGTTGAAAAATGTGTCAAGACTAAGTGTGGGCATGCATACACACAAACACATAAAACACTACATTGGAACATTAAGTACTACCTATATTTTGGGTAACATAGAGAACATTGCATAAAGCTTTGTTTAGCCTGCTTGTTTAATTCTTTATTGTCCTATTAATACTGCACACATTAAATATCCCGATTTTCTTGTGTCAATTGAACCATGGTACTAAGTATTTTTATAATTGATTAATTTGTACTGAAAATATCCTGTACTTTCTAATGTCTATTTGTGTAAAAGTCTTTGGGGCAACTCCAAGATAATTAAAAACCCCAAATGCTCCTGGTACCAAAATTCCTTGCAAAATCCTCATAATAAAATGCAGTTTTTTTGTGAAATGGCTGACTTCTATAGTATGTAATTATAATAACAACAAATTGACTAATAATGGCCCCATCTATAAGTTACTTACTTCATGGCGGACATCAATGGAGGCCAGGAAAAGATGTTCTCGAGTGCCTGACATCCTCCTTTGTTAGTGTCGGTCTTCTCACAGCTAAGCCCTCTTAAACACTGGTTTTGGTTTCCAGTCTGCGTCCCTGGGACCAGGGCAAACACATTGAGAAACTGAAGTCTCTCCTGAATTCCCAGTTTCCTTCTCCGCTCCCTGAACTCAGCGCAGCCTGAATTCCATTGTCATTCCCCACAGAAAAATGTCATTTATTCTCAGTGCACAGTAATATTTTACATAGTTTTCTCCTTCTTGCCTCAACATCATGGCCACCAGCTCTGGGGGACAGATAGGAAAGAAGTACAAGAAGATAGGTCTTTTGGTTTCTCCTGTTGTTAATGAAGCCTTACACTAGTGAGAACATACCCACAACCATATCTTCTGTCC